GATGACTCTGATGACGGCAACATTGTGTCATCTGAAGATAACCTTCTTGGATCGAAAGGTCGCTGTGTCATTGATAAGGAAGCTTCCTCTGTGTCATCTTTTCTGTGTGCAAAAATTGTTATAATAAAGTAAGAAATCAACTGAATAGACTCTGAATACAAGAAGCACTAGTATCAGTTTTACTTAGGGGCCTACTTGTCAAAGATATTATAACATGTAATAGGATCCTTGGTGGTGCAGTGGTTAAAGTGTTGTGCTGCTAACTGAAGGGTTGGCAGTTTGAACCCACCAGCTACTCCATAGGAGAAAGATGAAGCAGTGTGCTTCCGTAAGGATTTACAATCTTGGAAGCCCTGTGGGATGGTTCTACTGTGTCCTACATGGTGACTATGAGTCAGAATTGACTCAACAGCAGTGGATTGTATACATCTAACATAGGCACAAAAATATATTTCTTAGGAGCTCTGGTAGTGTGGTGCCTAAGGCACTTGACTGCTAACCAGAAAGCTGGTGGTTCAGACCACCAGGCACTCCTTGGAGGGAAGGTGGGGCGACCTACTTCAGAAACCCAGAAAGGAGGGGTTGCTATACGTTGAGTTCAACTCGACAGCACATAACAACAACAACAACAATTTTAATGAACTAATAAAAACATATTTTATTGCATTATTTTATTTACTTTTCCTATTTTTTAAAAAAACTTTCTCTTGTAGATATTTTTGAATATGTATGAAAGTAGAACAAAGAAAATAAAGATCATCATAATGCCACCAATCACAGTTTCCACCATTTCCTCCCAAGACTTTTTCATGCATTTTCTACTCAAAATCGAGACCCTATGAACTACTTTATATCCCAGTTTTTCACTTATATCATACTTCCTCTTTTCATAAATATACAAACATGATTTAATTCCCATTCAATATATTATTATTTAGTAATTTTTTTCCTTTAATTCCTTCTACTTAACTAATGTTCCTATATTAATAAAGATTCTATAGTTGATATCTACTTTTAAATGACCTCTGAAAATAAATATCTATAAATATAGTACGCATGTGTATACCTATGTGTATGTATGTATGTATGTTGAAGACAATGGCAGGAAGGAAGGAAGAAGAAATACTTAGTTTCTAGTCACTGTTTCTAAAGTGAATATTACCATAATCTAAGATTTTCTTTTTCTTTTTTTAACGCATGTACAATCATTTTATCAACATCCCTAAACTACTGTGCAATTATTTTACAATTTAAACAATATGCTCACAAGTTAAAAAATATGCTCATGGCATAGCCCATGAAAAGACTTATGACAAATCATTTTATGGTGAGTCACGCTGTGACTCTTCTCAGTGATCTCAGAAATTCATGTGTGTATGTGTGCACATGCAAGTATGCATGTGCATGTATATGTGCATGTGTGTATATTTTTAATGTTTGAATTGTGTTTAGCTCACTGAAAAACTGAACATGTAGCTAGCTCAACCATCACCTTTATTGAGGTCTTATCTATGCACTCTAAATCAGAAACTAAGTATTTTGCTTCCATGAATTATCTCTGTTTTAATCTCTTTGAAGAAATATTCACAATTACATTGTTCTACAATTTAGAAGTTGCTTCATCAGAATTCTTTTATCTGGAGTGATCTTACTTGACATTAGACAACATATCTATCTCAGGCATTTTTTTTTAGCGTATTGTGGTAGTTACGTTTGTGTGTCAACTTGGCTGGGTTTGGTTGAGTAGCTGCAGCTGGGTGTAGTATTCCTCATGATGAGACTGGTAATCAACTCCATGGTGGAATCTACTGTGAGCAGCTGAGTAGCTGCCTTAGGGATGTGGTCTGTTTCCTGTGTATGAGAAGCCTTGGGGAATGGTCTCTAGCTTATGGCACGTTTGGACACTGCATGTAGCTGTGTCGTTGTTCAGTAGCCTACTATGCTCTGCTGCCCTTGGGACTTACAACAGACTTGAATTAATGGCCTGCCATGTGATTTGGTAACATTGGGACTGTATCATTTTCTTTGTCGACCTTGGGCTTGTTAGCCCCAGCAGCCAGTAGCTGCCTGAGTGGAGAGATGCCTCTAGCTTCAGTGGGCCGGGAGCAGGAGGCAGAGCTGAAGCCCAAGGTCGAGGGGCTTTCACACAGCCCCTAGAGCCTGGCACTTTTGAACTTGGACTTCTAGCCTCCCGAATTGTAAGAGAATAAACTCCTGTTTGTTAAGGCCATCCCATTTGTGGTATATTCCTGTCAGAGTGGCACTAGGTAACCAGAACACATATAATTAAATAGCATAGGCTTTGAAATTTTCATTATTGCTAACTCAGTGCTTATTAAGCTTGCCACTTAAGTCCTGTGCTAATAATACATTTGCCTGAAACTCTCTAACCCAAATGTGGAATCATTTACCATTCTTCTCACACTCAGAGCACTCATATTTGTCAGTAAAGCCCTAACTTATGAGTATAAATGGGATGGTAGTAGGAAGGAGACTATAGAAGCAGATTGTCAAATGAAAAGTATTTCAGCCCTGTCCAACCTGAGACAGGATCGTATGACATGACTTCTCCTTGACACTGGCTGGAGCATGCAGGAAAAGTGCTTTTCTTTTTCAAAGTTCCTCACATCTGGCTTTCATTATAGACAAACTCATGATATATTTTCAGCATGTTCATTTTACAAGCCCCATTTATTTCCTACCTCCAGTAAAACAATAATGTTTCCAGATATATTTAACTCCACAGAAGACACAGAAGATTCCCACCAAACCAAACACTGCCATGGAGTCAGATCTGACTCATAGTGACCCCTCTTTGGGTTTCCAAGGCAGTATCACTCAGAAGTGGATTACCCAATCTTCCTTCTGAGGAGTGGCTGGTGGGTTTGAATCGTCAGCCTTCTGGTTAGCAGTCAAATGCCTTTGGCACCATGTTGTGAGCAAGGAAATCTGGCCTAGGGCTTAAGATGTTGTTATTTTATAGTTGAATAATACATTTCTGATGGCTACACACACCTTTGGAAGAGCTGAAACATTTCGGAAATAGACTTGTCTGATGCAGCCCAGCATTTAAACCATGCACTTGTCTATCTAATAGACTCTTGGGAACATGAGAGGTTGTCCCTAGTGATTAATTAGCATTTCCTTTAACATATGGAATTGTCCAAACTTGCCCAAATTTGCTCCCTCTCTAATTGACCAGCACCAAGCTAGGGGCAGTTATAAAAACTCAGTTCCAGCATTTCAATGTTATTTTGGGAGATGCTACATTGGTAATACTGACAAAAATCATTTTTTTTTATTTGGTAACATTGCTAGAGGCATCTCTCCACTCAGGCAGCTACTGGCTGCTGGGGCTAACAAGTCCAAGGTCGACAAAGAAAATGATACAGTCCCAATGTTACCAAATCTGATGACTTCTGAGAACAATGCTATAGAACAGACCTAGACTGAAAAGTAACCACAAGGGACCTAGATCCAAAAGTAACAATAGCTTTAAAATTATGTATGCTCCATTCTAGAATCATTTTTTTAGAAATTATTGGAAAAACCAATGCTAATGCTTTAGTAGATAGAAGGATAAACATTAGTATTATTCTGATTTGTAGGTTTTGTTGTAGTTGTTGTTTTAACATGGTCACAAACATTTCCCAAACCAAAATTCTCTAGTACATTTTTGTCCTCAGTTTAGAAATATAGTTCTAAAGAAATTGTCTGCAAGTTGTCTTAACATGTTAGATGTGAGATCTGGAATCTCTACCAGGTCTGATACGATGGAATTCTTGGTTAATTTTGTATTATGCAGAGACCTTATAAGACAGTGGCTAAGGAAATAGTTTGTATGTTATAGTTTGTTGTTAAAAAATTTTTGGAATTGATTTTTACTACTCATAAGATGTTTTAAAGCAAAATAGGTCAAACACTCCATTATTTTCTTTCTGAAACACAGACCCTCTTATTTCTTCTAATCTTACTGGGCTTGGTTCTCCATTTGATCTTTCTGTTCAGGGACTTTATTCTGTTGGATTGCCGAAGCTTCCTTAATGGACTTTTTCTTTTTCATCTTCACTGGAAGTGAAGTCTCCTTTCTTTCCTAGGAAAGCAAATCATGGCATTAGATAGTGAATATAGCCAAGGTTCAAGGTAGATTTTCTTTTTAAAGTGATCTCACCCGTTAATCACCTACCTTCAGCCACTTGCCAGATTTCATGATTCCTTTACCAAGCTTGTGACAGAACCAGGATTCAAATGTGACTATGGAGGTACTGACATAGTTCATATTAGGTGAAGCAAGATGAAAGTGTATGGCATTCACTGGAGTCAGTTCAAGAGGCAGTGTGGTAACCCAGCAAAGCTGCCTTTATGACTACAAGTTAGTATCTAGCCAACACTGCCTCTTAGAATTCTATGAGGTAATGTCTCCATAGTTACCAAGTTGCAGTCTCTGAACAATTAGTATGTTGAAGCTGCACCTGCTTTGCAGTTTTCAGACAGTAAAGAATATAACTTCTTTCAGGAAGAAATTTGTCACCAAAATGTTTGATATCCTATTTTGGATTTCTGAAGGCCAAGGTTAGTATGTCAGTTTTAGGGGAATTAATCACAGCTTTATTTCTCTCTCTCTCTCTTTTTTTTACATGAATGCTGCTTGAACACAGAAATAACTTGACAACAGGAATAGAAAACTTACATATATTTAAGGCAAAATAAAACCTATCTGTGGAAATGGTGAAATCTGAGCCAGGAGATCTAAACCTTTCTCCTAGTTCTGCCAACAATGTAATTTAGAAGAAATCACTTACCTTCTTAATTCAGCTACTTCATTTTACAGAAGACCAAATCCTAATGGCTCATGATAATAGGCATATGAGAATAAAGCTAACAGATCTGAAAGTGCATGATTCTACACAGTAATAAGACTCACTGTCTAAGGTGTTTGACTGCTGACCAGAAGACTGCGGTTCAAACCCACCAGCCACTCCTCGGAAGAAAGACTGGGCATTTTACTCCCATAAAGATTTACTGCCTCAGAAACCCAAAGGAGATCACTGTGAGTCAGAACTGACTCGATGGCAGTGAGGTTTTTTTTTTTTTTTTTTTTTTGGGGGGGGGGGGCAATGAAGACAATTACTGGATGAGTGAGTTTATTCAACAAATCTTTAATGAGCATCTAGTATATAGCTGGGACGTGTTAGCTGCTATGAATAAACAATTCCTCCTTTAAAGAATAATGGTAAAATATTTTCAATCTAGACTTAGATATAAGTCTTAGAATAAAGAACAATATTTAAATACAAAGGGCAATGAATAAAGTAACTGCTCTAATAGATCAAAAGAAAAATACAAGAAGTGTACACATAATGACACAAACTATAGGCACGTAAACATTTAATTTCTCAATCTCAGAAATATAACATAATTCCTTATCAGTGCTGTGGTCCAATTGTGAAAACGCTGCATCATAATTCCTTATCATTGCTGTAGTCTAATTGTGAAAATGTTGGATCAAGAGATTTATATTTTCATATTTATGTTTAAAACCAAAACCAAACTCACTGCCATCAAGTCAATCCTGACTCATGGTGACCCCTTTGGGTTTCCAAGGTGGTAAATCTTTATGGAAGTAGATAGATTGTCCCATCTTCCTTCCACAGAACAGCTGATAGCTTTGAACAGCCAACCTTTTCATTAGCTGTCAAATGCCTTAGGTACTGTGCCACCAGAAGAAAGAAAAAAAAAAACCTCACTGCTGTGGAGTCGGATTGGACTCCTAGTGACCCCACATTGGGTTTCTGAGGCAGTATTTCTACGGAAGTAGATTGCCCAATTTTCCTTCCGAGGAGTGACTGGTGGGTTTGAACTGCTAGTTTTCTGGTTAGCAGTCAAATGCCGTAGGCACTACACCACCAGAGCTCCCATGCCACCAGAGTGTCTTGAAAATAAAAATGGATTTATAAATTCACGTCGTGAGCCCAGTTTCCCTAATTCTTCCTGCCTGATGGCTTCTTAGCTGTTGAAATTTCGGTACCCATTATGTATATTGGCATAAAGTAATTATGACCTCATTTGTTTTATCAGGGAGTGTATTCATATTTTCCAACATAGTTTGAAGAAAAAAAAAACTTCACTACTAAAGGAAAACTTTGGAATGCTTTAAATTTGTGAATATTTCAATATTTATTCTTCATACAGAATATTTTCCTTACCCTAAATTACAGCACATATACAACTAAAACCAATTTCCTCTTTTGCTGCTGCTTACCCTAAACTTGTGATTTTCAACAAGAGATAGAGTGAAATATAACGGTATAGGGCATTTTGTAAATCCAGGGGTACATTAATAGTAGTCATAGTAATTTGGGGGGGTTACTGCCTTTTAGTGGACAGAAGCCAGAGATGCTTGACTTCTGCAACATGGTAGATAAACCTACACAGCATAGAATTTTCCCATGTACCACATGATTTGCTAGATATTCATGTGGGCAAAAAATGGTTTATAATCATTTGAGCCTAACGTCTAGCCCATATTACATGTAAATATGAAATATTTTTGTAAATTTTTAATATATACAGAATCACCAGGAAGTGACTATTATTTAAATTAAGTGAAGATTGTATATTGATTTGTTCTGACTTTTACCAAGAGTTGTTTATCAGTTTATCAGCTAGGAGATCTAAACACTGATAGCAATGGCACTTGGTTATATTTGAATAAACCCAGGCCGTAGAGTTGATTCCAACTCGTAGCAACCCTATAGGACAGAGTAGAAGTGGCCCAGAGGATTTCCAAAGCTGTAAATCTTTACGGAAGAAGACTACCTCATCTTTCTCCCTCAGAGCAGCTGGTGGCTTCAAGCTGCCCATCGTTTGGTTAGTAGCCAAATGCTTCAACAATTCTGCCACCAGAACTCCTTAATATATAAATATTTGATATAATTTACCTGAAATAGGTAACAACAACAAACTGAACCTTAATCTTATGAATCCTCTACTACGTATAGACTACAGAGGACAAAAAAAAAAAAGTTATTTTATAGATTAAGGTATTTTAAAAGATGTCCTTTATACTTGTGGATATAATTTGTATCTAAGTCAAGCAGACAATAAAAAATGAGTGTAACAATTAAAAATTTAAACATACTGGATATTTAATGTTTTTAAGTAACAATTATAACTATTTTAGGTGTGGTAATAGTATTGTGATTATTTATTTATTTATTTTAAAGAGCCCCTATCTTTTAAAAATGTATACTGAAATGTTTATAGATATAATGTTATGTCAGGATTTGCTTTAAAATAATACTGAAGGCAGTGAGTAGATGAGGATATAGATGAAAAAGATGTGCCATGACTTGAAAATTATTGAAGCTGTGTGATGGGTACATGGGCTTCATTATATATTATATCTACTTTATTTATTTATTTATTTTGGTAAATGTTTGAAATTCTCCATTCTGAAAAAAAAATATCAATGGAGGGGCTGATTTTGGTGCATATGCTTCATACATTGATGCAATTATCATGGAGGCTATCTCTGTGCTCAGCAAGGATAGGATCAGCCAAGAGCTGAAAGTGAAAAACACTTACTGCTTATGAGGAGCAATCCTCTTTACACAGGTTATCTTATAGCAGCTCTGGAAGATGGAGAATTTTGACAGCAATGAGTTTTTAAAATGAGGATATAGAAGTTCAGAGAGTTTAAATACCTCTTCCCAATGTTATACAACCAGTAAATGGTAAAGACAGAATTTGGTCTCATATATGTTTGTTATAAAGAATTGGCCACTACACTATGGTGGTACTTGGTATGGCTCTTCCAGCCATGGTCATTGTGGCGCCTACCAGATGACTGGATGGAATTATGTAAATGTAAGGTGTTTGTGGTCCACCAAGGGGATTGGATAGTTTGTTAGTAGTGTAATTAAGGTATATGGCACCATTGTGGGTGTGGGACTGTGGAAATAAGTTGTATGGAAACTTAATATGGGAATTGGTCAGTTTTTGACATTTTGCTAGGCCTAAAATAAATCCTCCCAGAGATGGAAAAGGGAGATCTCACTGTCATCAAAAGAGAGAAGCCAGGACTGAAGAGTGACTTTGGATCCAAGATCTCTAAACTGAGAGAACAGCAGAGAGGTGACAGCAGAAAAGCTGAGAGACTAGCGTGAGACAGAACAGCAGGCTTGCCAGCCCACAGAGCAAGAAAGCTGAGTGCCTTTGGGTAGGATACTTGCTGGTAGAATGGGGTGACCTAGATGCACCTATTGTTGTTGTTGTTGTTATGGGCTGTCGAGTCAGACTCGACTCATAGTGACCCCTCCTTGGATTTCTGAGGAAATATCACTACAGAAATAGATTGCCGGACTTTTCTTCTGAGGAGTGCCTGGTAGGTGTACCTATCAGCTGAGCTTCATAAAACTTTCAGGAGCTAGGGTAGAGGACAGGCCAAGAGGCTAAGGGTTAAAGAGAGGAGTGCCTGAGGGCATAGCAGAGGAGAGACTGACCTGATCCAAGAATTGTGTCCTGAGAGCATTCCTGAACCTGAATTGTAACCTGTTGCTGTGAGTATTGTCTGTGAGTTCTGTGTGGCCATTGCAACAAATTATCAAACCCAGCAGAACAGTAGTAAGTGCTGTGGGAGGGATGGTTGGTGTCAGAACTGGTAAAAAGGCTGGAGGGTGGCAGCATGTCTGGCTTAATGGCATAAGCCTTGGGCTGCTGATGGTGATTCTCTCTCTCCCCTTGTGAAGTTAGAGGAGGTCAGAGGAAGCCACCCCCATGCCCTTTTAGCAACTATCCCTCTTCAATTCCAGTCCAACATCTTATCTCCTTCCATGGTAACATCTTCTTATCTCCTTCCATGGTAACTGCTTACATCTTCATCCAATCATAAACCAGCTTTGTCCAAATCCCTCTCTCTGCTTTGGTTCCAAATTACTCTGGTAGCATAGTGCCTAAGGCATTTGATTGCTAACCAGAAGGCTGGCAGTTCAAACCCACCAGCCACTCCTCAGAAGGAAGATGGGACAATACTTCCGTAGTGATACTGCCTCAGAAACCCAAGGAGGGATTGCTCTGAGTCAGGTCTGACTCGACGGCACATAACAACAACAACAACATAGTTTCCTGGTCTGGCACCAGTTCTTTCTTTTGCCTTCCCTCTGGTTGGTAAAATAACATAATTATACATGTAGAATTGAAGGCCTAAAAGAGTAAAGATAGGTTAAAACAGGGTGATTATAATGGAGCTTTTACCTTAAGAAATGATTAAAGTTGGCA